TAATCAAATATCGATTTTAACCAGAATTTATGATTATTAAAATTAAAAATGCTTTAAAACGATATCAAACTCGATGTATTTCTGTTAAGTATTAAGGATGTATCTCAGAAAATTAAGATATATATCTGGATTCTTATTTTTTATCAGAGATATATCGAGTTTGGTATCAAATTAAAGCATTTTTAATCACGATTACGAATTTAATGCTAAAATCGTAAAAAAATCTTTGGTTTTTTGAGATATTTGCAAATTTTTTGATTGAAATTGATCAGAAATCGATTTTATTCTGAATTTAATGAAATCAAAATTAAAAATGCTTTAAAATGATACCAAACTCGGTGTATTTCTATTAAGTATTAAGGATGTATCTCAAAAAATTAAGATATATATCTTGATTCTTACATTTTATCGGAAATATATCGACTTTGGTATCAAATTAAAGCATTTTTAATCACGATTACCAATTTAATGTTAAAATCGTTAAATGAATTCGTTGGGTTTATGAGATATTTGAAATTTTTTAATTAAATTTAATCAAATATCGATTTTAACCCGAATTTATGATTATTAAAATTAAAAATGCTTTAAAACGATACCAAACTCAATATATTTCTGTTAAATATTAAGGTTGTATCTCAAAGAATTAAGATATATATCTCGATTTTTATTTTTTATCGGAAATATATCGAGTTTGGTATCAAATTGAAGCATTCTTAATCACGATTACGAATTTAATGTTAAAATCGTTAAATAAATTTGTTGGATTTTTGAGATATTTAAAATTTTTTAATTAAATTTAATCAAATATCGATTTTAACAGGCATTTATGATATAAGTACGAAGGCTATCACGGCCGGTGTGAATTAAACTAAAGGAATTTATGATTATTAAAATTAAAAATGTTTTAAAACGATACCAAATTCAATGTATTTCTGTTAAGTATTAAGAATGGATCTCAAGAAATTAAGATATATATCTGGATTCTTATTTTTTATCGGAAATATATCGAGTTTGTTATCAAATTAAAGCATTTTTAATCACGATTACGAATTTAATGTCAAAATCGTTAAAAACATCGTTGGGTTTTTGAGATATTTGAAATTTTTTAATTAAATATAATCAAATATCGATTTTAACCAGAATTTATGATTATTAAAATTAAAAATGCTTTAAAACGATATCAAACTCGATGTATTTCTGTTAAGTATTAAGGATGTATCTCAAAAAATTAAGATATATATCTCGATTCTTATTTTTTATCGGAAATATATCGAGTTTGGTATTAAATTAAAGCGTTTTTAATCACGATTACGAATTTAATGCTAAAATCGTAAAAGAAACCTCAGGTTTTTTGAGATATTTGCAATTTTTTGATTGAAATTGATCAGAAATCGATTTTAACCTTAATTTAATATAATCAAAATTAAAAATGCTTTAAAATGATACCAAACTCGATGTATTTCTATTAAGTATTAAGGATGTATCTCAAAAAATTAAGATATATATCTCGATTCTTACTTTTTATCGGAAATATATCAAATTTGGTATCAAATTAAAGCATTTTTAATCACTATTACGAATTTAATGTTAAAATCGATAAATAAATTCGTTGGATTTTTGAGATATTTGAAATTCTTTAATTCAATTTGATCAAATATCGATTTTAACCCGAATTTGTGACTATTAAAATTAAAAATGCTTTTAAATGATACCAAACTCGATGTATTTCTGTTAATTATTAAGGTTGTATCTCAAAAAATTAAGATATATATCTCGATTCTTGTTTTTTATCGGATATGTATCGAGTTTGGCATCAAATTAAAGCATTCGTAATCGTGATTACGAATTTAATGTTAAAATCACAAAAAAAAATAGTTGGGTTTTTGAGATATTTGAAATTTTTTAATTAAATTTAATGAAATATCGATTTTAACGCGAATTTATGATAATTAAAATTTAAAATGCTTTAAAACAATACCAAACTCGATGTATTTCTGTTAAGTATTAAGGATGTATCTCAAAAATTTTAAGATATATATCTCTGTTCTTATTTTTTATCGGAAATATGTCGACTTTTATATCAAATTAAAGCATTTTCAATCACGATTACGAATTTAATGTTAAAATCGTTAAATAAATTCGTTGGATTTTTGAGATATTTGAAATTTTTTTAATTCAATTTGACCAAATATCGATTTTAACCCGAATTTATGACTATTAAAATTAAAAATGCTTTAAAATGATACCAAACTCAATACATTTCTCTTAATTATAAAGGTTGTATCTCATAAAACTGAGATATATATCTCGATTCTTATTTTTTATCGGAAATATATCGAGTTTGGTATCAAATTAAAGCATTTTTAATCACGATTACAAATTTAATGTTAAAATAGTTAAATAAGTTCGTTGGGTTTTTGAGATATTTGAAATTTTTTAATTAAATTAATCAAATATCGATTTTAACCTTAATTTAATATAATCAACATTAAAAATGCTTTAAAATGATACAAAACTCGATACATTTCTGTGAATTATTAAGGTTGTATCTCAAAAAATTAAGATATATATCTCGATTCTTATTTTTTATTGGAAATATATCGAGTTTGGTATCAAATTAAAGCATTTTTAATCACGATTACGAATTTAATGTTAAAATCGTGGGGTTATTGAGATATTTGAAATTTTTTGATTGCAACTGATCAGAAATCGATTTTAACCTCAATTTAATGGAATTAAAATTAAAAATGCTTATTTTTATCTGTTATACTTGTTGAAGTATTTATCGAAAATTTTAGTTTCAGGATCCAAAACGAAATGTTTAAATTCTTCATAACACAACGTTTCATCGTCGTTTCTATCGGCTTTTTCGTGGATCTTCCTAACTTTGTTTTTTGGAATTCCATGGCGATTGTAACGCAGAAACTGCCAAAGTTCTAAGTAAGTGACCCTCCCATCGTTATCTCGATCAACCTGGACTAAAAAAATTAATTCAAATAAAAGACTTATTCCCGACTAACCTGGTTGAATAAATCTTGCAAACGATTTGGTGTGTGTAAAGGAACATCAACAGATTCTGTACTAGACATCTCGAAACTTTAATTATAACACTTTTGGATCAATACGTAAAGCAAAATAAAACAAATTTAGCTTTATCGCTTTAGCACGAAAAGATAAGATAAGAAAACAGATTGAATCATAAAATTCATTTATTTATACATAATTAAGAAATATCACAACACTTTAACCACTAAAAGAAATGAAATTTTTTATTGTAGCGAAGGGGAAAGATTCTTTCCGAGTACATTAGCGCTATATTTTAACTTTTCCACATCAGCAGCTGATCGTAATGATTCTTCAGTTAATTGCCGCTCGTTTCGGGCTTCTTTTATAGGTTCTAAACGAAATAATTTAATTAATTGATTTAATGTAATCGTCTCTTTTTATGTATTTACCTTTATACGGAGTATATTTGCTGGAAATTGCGCCTTCGAATTTATAACCTAAATATCCGACGACAGCTGCAAATGGTAAAGTGACGTAAGGAGCGTAAGCTCGCATCGTGCGGAAAGCCCAAAGGTACCACATTTTTTGCTTTTATCTAATTTGTCGGTTTGTTTTTATTAATTTTAATTAATCCGGCTTTTTGCGTATCTAAAAAGATTTTTGTGTAAATAAGAATTTTGACGATTTTGACAGTTATGTCGCTAACTTCATGGAGATTTAATTAAGTTGGTGGAAAAAATGATAGATGGCGCGTACTTAATTAAATTAAATAAATTTGATTTATAATAATTTATTAATAAATTAAAGTGCTTGTTGCTAATACGTGATAAGCCACCAAATTAAAATTTTAAGAAAATTAACTTCGAAAAATGTTAAAATTTCTATGGTTATAAGTTAAAGTTAAATATGTCGAGTTTGGACACATTTTAAAGGATTTTTTATCTTTCTTTTCACGACTAAACCCGACTGTTTCTAGTTCTAGGTTTTGTGTTAGATCTAGTGATACTGTAAAACTAGAACTAACACTAGACCTAGAACTAGAAATATTCGGGTTTAGCCGTTCGTCTTCAGACTTTTCGAATAATCCACTTACCTTGCTTATAATTTCATCCATTTACCCNGATTTTAACCAGAATTTATGATTATTAAAATTAAAAATGCTTTAAAACGATATCAAACTCGATGTATTTCTGTTAAGTATTAAGGATGTATCTCAAAAAATTAAGTATCTCAATTCTTATTTTTTATCGGAAATATATCGAGTTTGGTATCAAATTAAAGCGTTCTTAATCACGATTACGAATTTAATGCTAAAATCGTAAAAAAGAATCTTAAGTTTTTTGAGATATTTGCAATTTTTTGATTGAAATTGATCAGAAATCGATTTTAACCTTAATTTAATATAATCAAAATTAAAAATGCTTTGAAATGATACCAAACAAGATACATTTGTGTTAATTATTAAGGTTGTATCTCATAAAATTAAGATATATATCTCGATTCTTATTTTTTATAGGATATGTATCGAGTTTGGTATCAAATTAAAGCATTTTTAATCACGATTACTAATTTAATGGAANTTTATCAATTCTAACCTAATTTTTATTAATTTTAAAACAATTCGAATTCTTTACGATTATCTCGCATTCATAACAAATTCGTTAATTGTAATTAATTTAAATCGATTTTAATTAAGAGAAATAAATTAAAAATATCTCTTTTTGATTTAATCCACTTACCTTGTTTATAATATACCATAGATAAACCAATTTTGAGTTAAATACAGCCTTTTAAACCAATTAAATAAGACTTTTTTCTTAAAAAAACTTAAATTCAATTTCAATTTTGACTAGCACCTGCAATATTTGGATCTTAATCACCATGGTAACCGAGTCAAGTTGGATAACCTAACGATAATAAAATTATAACCGTATATATTCGCTTTATATTTTAATGTTTTTTAAATTTTATTTATTTATTTCTTTTAAATATTTTGGTATATTGTTTCTTAAGTGAAATACACTGTATAAATAAAAACATAGAAATGTCAATTTTTCCAATGACGTCACAGGGGATACGTTCATATATTATGGAGTTGGATAACCTTATACAGTATGTTTACTCAACGGACCTTGCTTTGATGTAATGAGGTTGTCGTGCAATTTTGTGTCTTTATTTTCCAAAAATACTATCACAGCCAACGCACTCCTGTGTGAAACAACAATCGGTTGAAATCTTCATCATTAACAACACAAAGAGCTGTTTTGGATTTTATTGACTGCTTTGATGACATGTTGCAGAAGGGAAGAAGGGCAATTGACCGTATACAGGTGTTTCATAATATATGCGTAGGACTTCAGGATGAGATAGCTTCTCCAAAAATTTGAAAACATCAAGCTATCACATCCTGAAGTCCTACGCATATATTATGAAACACCCTGTATAGGCCAATCTTATTATTACCCTTACTATCAAAACTACTCGAAAAATTACTATTAAAAAGACTAAAACCTGTCATAGAAGAAAAAACCCTAATACCAACACATCAATTTAGGTTTCAGAATAAACATGCAACAATAAATCAAGTGCATAGAATAACGAATACATATTTTTGATGTTGCACAAGCTTTCGACAAAGTCTGGTTAGATGGTTTAAATAACAAACTAGACCAAGTATTACCATCAACCTATGATCAACTATTAAAACCGTATCTTTTTGATCGATATTTTAGAGTAAAATACGAAAGCACTTATTCACCACTACATGAAATACAAGCCGGTGTTCCTTAAGGAAGTATGCTTGGCCCAACACTGTACTTAATTACACATTCGTCCTTCCTCAGATACCAGAAATTTTAAGAACTACATTCGCAGATGACACAGCGATCTTGGTTACTGCAGAAAATGAAGTAGTTGTAGCAAATAAGTTATAATTGGCCTTAAATTCAATAGAAATAAATCGAGATACATAAACTTTACTTATAAGAAAGTAAACTATGTCCCAGTACACATAAATGGCAATGCAATCCGCAAAATATTTTGTCATGATGCTGGATGCCAAACTTAAATGGAAAGCTCACGTGCAAAAAAAAAACATGAGGAACTTGATATCAAATTTAGACACGTATATTGGCTTATTGGCAGAAAACCAACGTTATCAGTGAGAAATAAGTTGCTAATACACAAAGAAGTATTAAAACCAAAATGGACATACGGAATCCACCTGTGGGGTTGTACCTGCAAGACAAATGCAAGTCTGATTCAAAGATTCCAAAACAAAGTACTAAGGTGCATAGTGAATGCACCTTGGTATATAAGAAACACCGACCTCCATCGCGACTTTGAAGTATCATCAGTGTCATCAGAAATTGCGGAACAATGTTGCTAATACCGACATGGCGTCGTTTCAGTCAACAATTCGCGTAAGTTCAAGTGAGTTAAATGGTATTAATAAAGGTAAAGGAAGAAAAATAGACATTACAAACAGGAAGGATTTCAAAAGGAAGATGTTAAATGATGCAGGAAAACCCTACATAAGTCAAAGGGGAAAATCAGTGAGCGGTAAACCGGGACCAAGTCATTTTGGTTGGAACAACGTGCTTTGTGCGTTTAATGTTATTCATGTTACTTTTCTAAACTTTTGTTTGATTAAAGTTGCGTGATTTTAATATGTACAGGGTGGTTCAAATTCGATGTCCGAAAAGGCTAACTCGGAAACTATAAGAGTTAGAAAAAAAGTAGCTCCCATGTCATGATCTCGTTTTTCGAGAAACTGCTAATGCCGAAAACCTCATAGCGCTATCGTCTTTTGTTTTTCCCCTAGAGGCCAAAATTAAAAATATCGTAAAACCAGCAAGTGCAATTATCTTGGTTATTATTAAGGCACGGAACTTTTGTAACAAAACGATACGATTTCCCCCCTCCACTCGTTCTCAGAAAATCTTGATTAAAAGGACAGCTGAATGGTCCAGGAGATATTAAAATGTAAACATTTGAAAACGCATTGGCCTCCTCCTCCCTTATTATGACAGATATGAAAAATATTGCAAAACAAAAGAGATGCGGTATTATCCAAGCTACTAAATGATGTTGTCAAAGTTATAGCTCATCGTCTAAGTTTCTGAGATAGCGGGAATTTTATGTTTCTCTATGGCAGTTACGCCCCCTAGTGGTCGAATTACGAACTTCAAAATAATTTCCAGCTATTTCTCTTGCCCACTTTGCTTATAAAGATTTTTTTTCCAAACCTCTAGGCCTTACCGTTGTTGAGATACAGCCGCTCCGTACGCTTAACGGGACACCCTGTATAGTTTGTTGGGTATATTTCTTATAGTTATTGAATAATTAACAAAAATTCTTATTGTTCTATCTAAAACTAATGTATGTATTTAAAAGTTAATGTTGCTATGGTGATAAACATACATACTATGATGGAAAATAATGTATCAGATTATTACCAAAGCTTGTATTTAAAAATTCGCTAACAACTCTGGCATTATGTGCTGGTATGTATAACAAAACTGTATAATAAAACTTTACAATGAATTTCGAAAATTATGAAAAATGTAACATGATGGAATGCTATATGTTATCAGATAAGAATGCGACGTTAGCCGCGGAATTATATTTCTCAAGGTATCCGGAAAGAAGAGAACCGCACGCAAGAACTTTCAGGCGGTTAGCAAAAAATTGTATGGATTTTTGGTCCTTCCCCAAACCACGTGCAAAAACATACCAAAATAACCTGCAAGAGGATGAAGTCAATGTGTTGGCTTCAGTTGCGATAAATCCATCAACATCTTGCAGAGAAATTGAACAAAACGTCTGACCCAAAAGCCGCTGCTCCCGAATATGAAAGAAAAATAAATATAAACCATACAAAGCGGGGCTAACTCATTACTTACGTGCCGGAGATGTCAATCTAAGATTAGAATTTTGTAGATGATATTTGGAGAAATTAAATAATCTGACAAACCTGTATGTGAAGATCCTTTGTTCTTAAACCGATAGTTTTCCAAGAATAATAAAATGCACTGGTACCTCAAATATCCTTTTTCAGGTAAACTTAATTCACTGAGTAAAACGGCAATAAAGTTACGTTAGGAATACCGAAAAATATAGAAACAGGAAAAACCTGGGCATCTTCCTATTGTAAAGTACAAACCCTATGTAAAAAATAAGATGGAATTTTTGCGGAGTGAATTTTGTATTGTAATTTTTGATTAAAAAAAACTGTTTTTCAATTCAAATATCTAATAAAAATTGCAGCATTCCGTTTAAAATAACGAAGTTGTAGGCTACTTCCGGTACACTGGATGTGGCAGCAATCTTGAAATTATTTTAAATCGAAAGATTGGGTTTATTTTAATCTCTAAAACGTACGGAACATGAAACCTAAAAATTTCTAACGGTCTAGTTGCGCGGAATTTCATGTACAAGAAAAAGCTGTGCTCTCACATATAGAAGATCATAATTTTTGGTAATTTTTCACCGATTCTCATCCTGCGTGTCTTGTTGTCTTCTAAAAAGAGCAAACTTTACGTAGAAGGTAAAAAAGAATTTTTCTGCGACTCCCCACGGATATTGAATGAATTTTTGGTTCACATTTTATCCAAAAAATATCCCTTTTCCACATATTATGGGCCATTGTTTTAAAACTACCAAACCGATTGGAATAAGTATTAATACCATTTATTGGCTACACAATAGTCT